AGGAGGAGGAGGAGGAGGAGCAGGAGCAGGAGGAGGAGGAGGAGGAGGGGTCCTGCGCTCGAGCGCCCGAGGAGGTGTGCAGCCGCACCGTGGCGGCGGCGCCTCGCCTCGCCTCGCGCTCTCGCGGCGCCTCGGGGGGCTCGGGGAGAAGCAGCTTCTGGCGCTCGTGCCCTGTCGGGCGACGACGACGACGCTGACGACGACGACGACGATCGACGATCGACGATCCACGATCGACGATCGACGATCGACGAGGATCGAGGATCGAGGATCGAGGATAGAGGATCGACGATCGTCGGTCGTCGATCGTGGGGCTCGGGCCGAGGCCGGGGGGGGGGGGGTCCTGCCCTGGAGCGCCCGAGGAAGTGCCACGCCGTGGCCTCGGCGCCTCGCCTCTCCTTGCGCTCTCGCGGCGCCTGGGGGGGGGGGGGGCGGCTCGGGGAAGAGCAGCCTCCGGCGCTCGTGCCCTGTCGGGCGACGACGACGACGCTGATGACGCTGACGACGACGACGACGACGACGACGACGATGAATTTTGGGGTTCTCCTCTTTTCAGCTTCCCGACGCTCCAAGACGGCGGTCTTCTGGACGTCCGAAGCCGCCTGGGAGGCTCCCAAATCGCTCCACAACCATCCGAAAGGGTTTCCAGGCAGTCCAAGAGAGCCCCAAAACGGCACAACACGGGTCCAAGATGGCCTTCCGAGACCCCCATGGCGGCCCAGGATGGCCCAAAGACACCCTCCGAAGCATTCCAAATCGTGACCCGGTCGTTCAGGGAGACCGCGGTTGGGGGCAGGGTGCCCCGAGGAAGCCCCCAGAGGCCTCCGGAATACGCCCAGGAGGCCTCCAGAAGGCCTCAAGAAAGCCTGAAACAACTTTTGTGAGGCCCCCAGAGGATCTCCAAGGAGGAGCCTCCGCAAAAAAGATCTGAGGAGGATGGGGAGAATGCGCAGGGTATGGCGAAAATAAAGAAAAAGAAACATGGAGGAAGGATAACGAATAACATCATTATAGCGGCGATGCCGGAAAAGGCAGCAATGAGTTATCGCTAGATTGTCGGTTTGACTTTGCTGCTATTCCGCCTGCATGCCAAACTTCAAGGACCGAGGTGCATAACGCGAAGCGCCACTGCAGTCTTGTGTGTATATATATATATCTATATATTTACACACATGTGTATATATATATATATATATATATATATGGAGAGAGAGAGAGAGAGAGAGAGAGAAAAAAATAATCTTGGAGTATTCGTTGAGTATTTGCTAATTTTCGCCCCGACTCCGCCTTCAGGAGGACCAGCCCGACCTAACGCTTGTGGGATGGGGCGTTTCGCTCCTGCCTTTTCGCTCTCCTGCCCGTCCGCAGCTCCGGCAGCTCGCGGGGCAGCTGCCCACAGCGACAAAAGTTG